TAATATAGGGGGCCTTAACAATTTCAATAGGGTTTTGAGGGTATTATACTATAGTTAGAATCAGGGCTCCAAGGAGAGTCCCAAAAAGGGGAAAGAGCTCCCCAAGGTCATCCTCCCTTGAAGCTGTCATTATGGGATCCATACTGCTGATGGACAAAATTCTGCATGAACCAAGTATAATATAGCACCTTAAATCCCATAGTTTAGGTATATAAGGTCATGCAGGATTTTGTCCATCAACCGTATTTTGGCGACCCCAAGAGGAATCCTGGGCGCTGAACTTCCAAAAAAAATGGGGGTTTCCGAAAATTGGGGGGTACCTTATTTTGGGGTCCTTATACTAAGGATCCTACTATTTAGGGTACTATATTAGGGTCCCCTATTTTCGGAAACCCCCAAATAGGAAACCCTAAACCCTAAACCCTAAACCCCCAAATAGGGAGAGGTCCGAAGTCGAAGGCCTCCTCTGCTCGACGGTCGGTCGCATGAAAGCTCTGAATGCAACAAAGTCGACCTGGAGCTCACTGGTTTTTTTGGTGGTGCTAGGGTTTTAGGGTTTAGGGTTGAGGGGACCTGGAGCTCACTGGTTTTTTTTGGGGGTGCTAAATATAGGGGCCCTTCATAATTTCAATAGGGTTTGGGGATATTATACTAAATGTAGGGGCCAAAATAATTTCAATAGGGTTTTGGGGGGGATATTATACTATAGTTATACTCAGGAAATGGGTAGTTATTTAGGCCCCTATAATATTACACAAAGGTCTCAGGGTTTAGGCTGTTAGCTTGGTGTTAGGGTGTCGGTAGGGGCTTGGGGGCTTCGCTCAAGGGCTTGTGGGCTTGGGGGTTTAAGGGCTTGTGGGTTTGATAGGATTTCTCCAGAAGATTCAGCACATGCAAATTTCTTCGGAGTCAGAGATAGCCTCAGCACCGGGCGCACATCCCAAAGCCTTACAACCCCGTCAAAGTCGACACCTGAGACCAGGGTGCCGAAGGCACTGCGCGGCCGCCAAACAGCTAGAGCCGCTGGGGCCCAGACTCATGAACTCATAGTCAGTTTCGGGCATCTTGCACAGGCCCGTGACGCTGCATTCGTGTCCCGTCCTTGGCAGCCCCGAAAAATCAGCTTCTGCCGGTACAATCGCGGCAACAGCGCTGAGTGCTAAGAAGTGGGCAGCTTGAACGAGAGGGTCCCAGCCTGTCAGTCGTCGCTGTGTTCTCCCCTCTCCTCCCTCTTCCTCCTGGAAGTTTTGAGGTTAGCCTCTATAGGGATTATTGGCGCTTACAAGGGCAGGCATAGTAGAGCTTGTAAGGCCCTTAATCATACAGTGTTGGCCAGAAGTGTTCGGCATCATGCTCTAGCTGGTGGACACGACTAGCGGACTGTGCAGAGACAAGTGCCCAACTCAACTTTTGTGCCAGTGCTGTTCCTTGTATAGTTGTGACGCATAAGCCATCTATCTGGGCCCTTGCGGCACATTTGTGTGTCAGAAAATGGTGGCAGCAAATCCCATGTAGAGTCCATGAGTAGGATCAGCTTTTGAAGAGTCCCCAGATTGCCAAACGGGAACTCGTGGAAAGAAACCTAGTTTGGCCACGACGAGATGCTCCGTAACCCCTAAACCCTATCATTGTGCTCAGCCGGACTGTTCGCATTGTTCGCAGCAGTTGTTGCAACAGCCACCCGCTGAGTGCGCAGCGCTTGGATCCCAAATGGCGATGTAGCTGTCCTTGCTGGAGTTTCGGGGTTGCAAAATCGCACCCACTCGCTTTCTAGATTTCGACACGTATGGTATCGTCGAATTGAGTGTCTTTAGGAATCAATCATACCATACAGGCGGATCGAGTCTCAAAGCCGGCGCTTAGTAGCATCTGGCTCTTCTCGCAGAACTCCAGGCAGGTGATGCCTGGGAAGGCCATGGCTCGGTCTCAGGGGATCTGTTCGGTAGGTTCTAGCTCATAGCGGAACCCCCGCAGACCTGTTGTGCTACTATTGCGACGACCCATTTGAATGATTATCACCACATGGGAGCGCAGTGTTTTTCGCAGCGTCTTTGCAGGTCTGGCGCCGCAGGTCAGAACCTGGGAGATGAAGTGAAAGCAAAAGCACAGAATGGCAGCACTCCGGGGCTTAAGAGTGTATATGGGATATATAGACCCTAAAGGCTGAGAAAAGGATGTAGACCCGACCAGTTACTTAGTCGCTTCTTCAGGGACGCGCAACTTGTCCAATGTCTGATGAAGCCCGAATCAGACTTTCCTGCCAGGCAACTTCATCAGCGCTCTTGGCATGAACCTGGTTTCTGTAGCGCATGTCTCAGGCACTTGCAGCAAGATGCACTCCTCTGCCGGACACTTGACAAAAGAACTAATCAGAAGGGGTGAACGGCGGCAAGGGTACCATGGCTCTTCCAGACGTCGAATTTGCCATCCGGAGGAGCCCCACTGAGCAGGCCCTCCCTCCCCGTCATTGAGGATGCGGGTCTCAAACTCCCACCTCGAACAAGCATTGGCTTTGGCGTATAGGCTGCTTTGGGGTTTTGGGTCGGCTCGGGGTTTTCTGGCTTGCAGGTGCACGAGGACTCAGGATTGGCTCCAAGCTGAGCCCCTGGCTTCACAAGACGGATGACACCTCGAGGTTTGTCGGAGCCTTTGTAGAGGTACCGTTCCGTCACCTGGCGCAGGGTGCACAGGGTGTTGAAGACGAAGACGCGGACGACGAGAATTACAAATTACTGTATGCTACCATACAAACAAACCGAAACTCTGAACCACTAAACTGATTAAATGCATGTCTGGGCATTTTTCGAAACGATGCATTTCAGCCAGCAAACAAGAGACAGGCGACCCAGCCTTGATCAAGGGAGTGATGACAAGCCCTGGTGGTGCACCCTCTTCCTGGGACGCACAGCAACGATGGATAAAGAAGGAGTCTTGTAGTCCCAACTTCGCAAAAGGACAGGTCGTGACCCCGTAATGCTTAAACTTTTGAAGTCACTTTTGGAAGCCTGTGTTGGCGAAGCTATCCTTTGCCCCAAAAGCTCACTTGGCCTGCCTGAAACCGACCATAGACCGCGAAGCAAAAGACTGCCCCGGTTGAAAACACATGCTAAACAGAGAGAACTCGCAGACGTAGTTTTTTTGGCTAGATACACTTCCAGCATCACTTCATGGACTCTGCAAAGTGACCTGCAAAGAGCGTGAGGTCAGCAGCGCCATCACATCAACGGACTCTAGCCTGATGGCACGGATGGGCAGAATGCCAGTCACAGTTGCTCGTGATAAAGGCATGGTGCAGCGAGCACACGCCCAGAAATGGATCATTTAAGCCCGTCTGTCTCCAAGGAAGCAGGAATTTCTTGCTCGACAGTCGTCTGGGTTCTTCTCGAGGAGCCTAATCAAAACTATCTTGACGTTTAGTTCCTTCAAAGCAAGCACAGTCTTGCATGGGACCCTGCCGCAAGAGCTTCGGCACCTGGGCGGCTCTGCCCAGTCTTCCTTCTCTGTGCCATGGAGGCCCTTCTGGTCTCGCAGTTCCTGGCAAACACAGCTTTGTTAGTGGTGTTCTGACTTTTTTTTGCGGCACCTTTTTTCCGCCTGCAAGTTTGCATTTAGGGTTTAGGGCTTAGGGTGTCCCATACACCTCCGAAGCGGCAGGGCTGCTGTTCCCACGATAAAAATCATGGGGACCCTTAACTGGGTAAGCCCTAAACCCTAAACCCTCAACCCCCCCTAGGGGTCCTTATGACAAAATGCACTACCAGAGCCAGCCAGAGTTCCGGTGCATCGCAACAGCACCGCCTTCCCCCTAGTGGCGGCTCAAAAAATACTGGAGGTCACTGTCAGCCTTCTGGTGCCCCCCCCCATGCGGTCTGAATTAAAGGGATCCTTAGTCTAGGGGACCCCAAGTAATCTACCCTCTAGCTTTCTGAAGCTCCCACTGGGCCTGGAGAAGCTGCGGCGTGACCAGGTCATCGAGCTCCTCAAAGCTCTCTGTGCCCAGAAGCTCGTGGACGCAGCGCACCGCCTGTTTAGGGGCTGTGAAGAAGTCTTTTTCTGAGGGCCGTTAGGGTTGATGTAGGGTTTAAGGGCCCAGGGTCTGAGGTGTCGGCTTAGGCCTCCGGGTTCTGGATGAAGCCTTAAGCCTTAGGCTCCGCTCGCGTCGAGGGAGTCTAGGTCTATTTTGGGATCAAATGCTGGCTGAAATCGAACCAGTCTTGGCGAAAGCAGTTCGCCAGTGTTTCTGAGACCTGGCCACCTGGGCATTTTGGGCCAACGACTGGCAAAGGTGTTACACTACAAGACAGCCATGGTATTTAGTGCTGTATACACATATCATGCTTGTATGCCTAGCATATGTATATGTGCATATATATATACATACATACATACATACATACATACATACATACATACATGCATACATGCATACATACATACATACATACATACACATATACATATAAATATACATATACATATACATATACATATACATATCCATATACATCTACATCTACATCTACATCTACATATACATCTACATCTACATCTACATATATAGATACATATATATATATATATTATAGCAAATGCAGAGGTTCAGCTTGGGGCCGTCGCGTGCCTGCTCCGCGCCCTCGGCAAAAGGGCCCCACTTCAGGTCCAGCTGCGGGAACATGAAGTTCATCTAAGCTCAGAGCTCAGACGACCAGAACTGCTAGTACGACTTAGCACTACTCGTGCTACTATAGCACCTTAACGCGACGAGTAGTACTAGTCCTACCAACACTTCTAGCGCTACTACGACGACGACTGCTAGTTAAATAGCCTCGTACGAGTCACTAAGCAATGCTCCCAACACGCAGCCCTATGCCGAAGGCATGGCAAGTTTGATTGCTCTGATGGGCTTCCCAATGCCGACGGGGAGCGAACCAAAGGGCGCTGCGATGAACGACGGCTCGCACTGGCAGCGTGGAGACGTCGAAGAAATCCTCCGGAGTAATACAGACCTGACCAGGTTCAGGGTTCAGGGGGGCCCAAACCCCACCATCATGATGCACGTTGGAGACTGTGAGATGCAGCGGTGGAGCTCGAGTGCGGCTCTCGTTGCAGCCCCGGCGCTTTGTACTCGGTGACGTCGGAATCTCTCTTGCTCTTGTTTTCGCTCTTCTGCTCCTCGTGTATGGGAGTTTCAGACAGTACCGGACCCAAGATTAAACCCCCTCTCATGCTGAATCCTAACTATAGGTACGACTAACTCAGGTATCCCTAAGTTTAAGAAGAACCCCGTATACTTGCAGGCAGGCCACTTTGGGATCCTCCGGGGTCCCAGTCTCTGAAGAAGGTGCCTCCTGCAGCCATCTGGAGAACATGACAAAGCACCTTCTGGGAGCCCACAGGAAGGATTAGACAAGCAAGTTAGTACAAACCGGTATGTAAGAACGGATGGATGGATGCATGTATCTAGGTGTGAATGTATGCATTGTGCATGTGTGCATGCACACGGCCGAAACTTTCCACGCACAGTGGGAAGGACACCAGGTGTGGGTGTGGGGGTGTGCATTTGTATGCATGTATGTATGTATGTATGCATGTATGTATGTGTGCATGTATGTATGTATGTATGTATGTATGTATGTATGCATGTATATATGTATGTATGGGTTAACATACTGTATGTATGTATATAAACAAATAGTAGTATTCGCTTATGCACATGTGTACTTTTCAGTTGTGTATTCAACCATACATATATATATATATACATATATATATGTACATGCAGCCTTGATTACACTCATCAAACAGCATCATGTCAAGACTCAAGTCACACTAGTGCAACATCGTGTTGTTGTAAGGATTTTCTACATGTGCCCATAACTGAAAAACGGTCAAGTATGTGAATGCGCATTGTGTATATATATATATACACACATTTATGCATGCACAATTGCAGACAGACAGACAGACAGACAGACAGACAGACAGACAGACAGGCAGGTGTAGACACACACACACATATATATATATATATACATATACATACACATACACAAACACAGACACATACCTTTCACAGACATATATACATACACATATTATGGAGGGGCTGGATTTAACCGTAAAACGATGCCTTTACAACTCCAGAGCACAGCTTCGTGAGAGTATACAGAGGACCTGTCTAGAAATGCAACATGTAAAGTCCAAGGTAAAGTCTTAAAAGGTGCCCCATGGCGTCGGAAACTTCCCCCCAGTGTCTGAGTCTTCCGGTCTCCTCGGGCTTCTTCGCCGCGCGCTCGCCTTAGGAGGAATCCCAAAAATCAGGGCTTAAAGGCTTAGGATTTGGGGCTTAAGGGCTTTAGGGCTTCGGCCTTATGAGTTCAGGGATACTTTTGAAGCCTTCAATAGGACCCTCAGATAGCGAGAGGCTTCCAAAAGACTTGTCCAAGACTGGTCCAGTGGCGGTCTTCCGGGGAGGGCGTTGGCGTCTCACCAAACCATCTTTGATGTGACACCCACAGATTCCTGAGAATTTGGCGGTCGCACCCTTTTGCAACCCTAGCCCTAAAAATCTAAGCCCTAGAGACCCTGGACCCAAACCCAGGCGGAATCTGAGAACTCTGCTTTAAAGCCATGTGTTGCGCACGCAACTTCGACGTATGCAAAGGAAGCCCAAATCTGCACTGCTTCCGAGACCTCTGCCTCTGCCACACACACACACACTCTTTCTCTCGCGCTGTCTCTCTCTCTCTCTCCCCATACATGTCTCTATATTTGCATGGATACATACATTGTACCTATGTACCTATGTACCTGTGGCATAGGTACATAGGTACTTAGTTACGTAAATAGATAGACACATGCATACACGTACACAGATACGAGGGGGAGAGAGAGCGAGAGCTGCACGTGCATATGTATGTATGATATGTATGTGTACATCATACATACATACATACATACATACATACATACATACATACATACATACATACATATATATATATATATATATGCACACATGCGTATGTGTAGGTTTACCTTTCGGTATGATGCCGTGACCCGTGACTCCAAAAATGATCAACCAACTTTCTCTGTCCACCAGCAAGCGACTTCGTTGCACTGGGAGATGGTAGGCGGCTAAGCCCAGGGAGGCATCTCGCCCCGGAAGTTTTCAACCTTGCTCTTACCATTTTCACAGATGCAGGCGAGCTGTGATGATGCTAGCTGCCTATGTACTTGCCGCTACTGCTAGAGACGAGCAGACGGACAGAAACATGTGAACTCCGGAGGCTCCTGGGCATCCCATTAGGATCATAAGCCTCTGGGGGATATCTCAAGGTGCCAAATCACAGAGCTCGCGTCGGTGAGCGGAGCTGCTTCAGACACGCCATGGCTCAAGTGGTATCGGAAAAGAGGGCTTTGCTCATCTCCGAAAAAAGCTCTTCTTCGTTGGTGTCGGAGCTTGCGGCAAGGTTCCGCAGACGCAACTAAGGCTTCAGCTGAACTGCGGAGATGCAAGGTTTCTTCGTTTCTTGGACCAGAGGCCTGCAACAGTTAAAGGAGCGGTGCACAAAGAAGTGATGAGGCAACAAGACCAGCTGGCCCTCCCGAGCTGAGACTCCTGCCTTTGGTGTGGCCTTGTAGCACGTGCGCCCTCGTCTGCCTCGAATCCCGACAGAGCTCAAGCATAGATCCCTCGAAGGTACTTGAAGTCGAATGCTGAAATCGGCTTCCCGCACCCTGCTTGCCGGCGTGTATGCCCGACTGTCGTAGAAACATCCAGGACCCGACTGGACCGTATCAAAGATCTGAACAGTGGTGTCCAGGGAGGCGGTTGCCAAGCACCTTAGGCTCAGAGATTGCAGGCAGCGTCTCGGAGTCCCTCAGCTGCCCCTCTAGTTCTTGTGTAGCGCCCTATTCTCAGGGCTCAGGGAGGGTCTTGGACAAGTAGTGGCATCACCTCAATCCGCTCATTTCCTATAACCAGTCTTGTGGACCCAACAGTGCAGGAAGTGTGGTCACACTTAAGACCCCGGGAAGTTGGACATGTGGTAGAAAGCTCTGGCACACCACCTTCAACGAATTAGTCTCTGGTTACTGCTTGTAACCCTCAAGAACGAGGAGAACTGTGAATTGCGACCAGTCTGAGGATGAGACTGGAGCGGCTCCAACCACTTCATGGCCTCACGACATAACGCACTGAAACAGTGGTAGATGTGTGTGTGTGTGTGTGCGTATATATATATATATATATAAGATGAAAATTCATGTATGTAACTATACGTAACTATTTCCCAACCTCCGTATATCTACATCTATATCTATATCTAGATACTCAGATGATTCGATAACTAGACAAACAGTTGGGCCTGAGACGACCCGTGGGTCCAATCAGTTTGGCCTTCGGGAACTCTGGTCTGATTTTCCTCACGCAGACCGCTGCGTGCCATACTATAATGTAACATACGAGAATATATATATATATATATATATACTATAATATGATATATACAATATATGATGTAATATTACATAATGTGATATGATAGACTTTCCTAGGCTCGGAGTTCGATGATACTTTCGCATCCGCCGAGTTCAGTTAGTTCGTGGTCGAGCGTCCCTTTTCCGATGGCTTCATAGGAACGTCTGCCCGTTTGACGGCAAGAATCCGGGGCTTGAACTCTTGTACCATGAAGCCCCTAAACCTTAAAACCTAAACCCTTACTCTGAAATTCCTCCGTTCCAAAATTCCCCTCACAGTAAAGCAAGGGCCAGCTCCTGCTCCTTTCTTAAGGCCGGCGCTTGGATGGCCTTGGAGTGCCCATTCTTGAACCTGGGAGGCTCAACACTCCACCATCTGACTCTTATATGGGAGTTCCCGAAAATAGGGGACCCTAATATAGTACCCTAAATAATGGATCCTTATTATAAGGACCCCAAAATAAGGTACCCTAATTTTCGGAAACCCCCATATCATATCCTTTACACAGCCAGAGCCGACTGTTCAAGAAGCTTTCTGATCTTTGGCGTCGCAGCGATGTCGGGCACAGGGCAGTAGCACGGTGCGAGAGAGAACTATACAGGGCTCGGCGGTCCTGTCCGGTGTCTGGCAAAGTCCGAGGCTTCCGCTCTAAGCTCTTGTCGGGCTTCATGCCACCGGTTCCAGTCCTCAGCGGAAAAGTGAAAGACGCTTTCTCCAGAAAACCCCAGGACCATGCCCTGGTTGAGGACTGTCCCTCAACTTATTCTTGCCGTCCGCTCATTAAGGGATCCTGAGTTGAAGCATGTCGGAGTCTCTAGGTCAGCACTGGGCACTCGGCGTCTTCACCTCCAGCTCGTCTCTGATGAGCCATCCCCAGAAGCGCTCACTGAAGTGATCAGCGGCGTAGAGAGCCTCTGAGAAGCCAAGCTCTATAAGACAGCCCTTGCAAGTGACCCTGTGCTCTCGGAGAGCTTTGGCTTGGGGTTTCAGGGTCTGGGCTTTGGGGTCTAGGGGTCTCGGGCTTAGAGCCTGCGGTTGACTCTTGCACCCCTGACTCTGACTCTGAAATTCGACAAAGACCATGAGAGGCGCTGCCGGACAGAGGGCCGAGGCCAAAGCATTGATCTCTCCACACCAGCAAAGTTCACCAACCACGTCTTTCAGACCTAATATGTGAAATCTCGCAAGACATCTGGCAGTTGCGGGACTGGGACTACGGCTGCGAGTGGCCCGACTTGCAGGCAGACTTTCAGCAGCAGGCTGCACAATGCGTATTCTGGTTCATGGCTGCAGGCCGGCAAGTGTCTGCTGACCGGTGCAGTGGGGCTGCGGCTCCAACGCTTCACCAGGTTGAAGGCGTTAGCATCCTTGGACAGAATATGCCAGCCCTACTCAAACTCGGGGGAAACCTGAAGAGGCGACAGGCCGAGAGAAGCTGAGACCGTGTCCCAGAAACACAGGGTCTTGTCATTGCCAGACGTGACGACAAGGTTGACGTTGGCATCTTCCCTACAGAGGAATGCTGGGAGGTTGAAAGACTCTGACAGATTCCTGTCAGATACACAGGACTGACTTACAAAGCAATATAACCCTAAACCCTAAACCCTAAACCCTAAACTCTATACTGTACTGTCGCAAGATAGTTAGACCGACCATCAGGCGCAAGTTTACTTGAAACCGCTCCAATGAAGCTCGCTATAGTACAGCCTGTCGGTGTAGAGGAAGGCTGCTGCGAGGAGGTCGCTCTGATGGCCATCCACTCCTCGGCTGCTGAAGCCGCAGCGACAATTTTTGGGGAATTCCCCTAAACCCGAAACCCCAAACCCTAAACCCTAAACCCCCTCTCTTTTGGCAGGGCGACTTCGCCGGCGCAGCATCGTCTGCTGCCGGTGCAGGAAGAAGCTGGCCTTCGGAGGGCAGAGATGGGGAGGGTGGCCTCTCTCGCGTTTAGGGTCCCTTTTTTAGGTCCCCAATATAGCACGGAACCCTCATAAAAAGGACCCCCCCTAATTTAGAATATAGTACGGAACCCTTATAGAAGGGACCCCAAAAGGGACCCTAATTTAGAGAGCTACGCATGTTGGTATAGGCGGGAGCTGTGGCTCAGGCAGCTTTTCAGTCTTTAATACAGCCCGCCACGCCTGGCCCTCCTCGAACACGATGGCACTTTCCATTGGATGGTTCGGCCTGGCCAACTTCCAGCTTTCTAGGCTGTACCCCCTGCCAGGAGAGATGGCACAGTAAGGCTCCGGCCAGAAATAAACCTTGTCGAAATGGCACCTCGCTTCTTGGCCAGCAAAGCAAAAACTCGGGGGAACATAGAGCGGTAGCCAGCCGTGACTCAGCACGCGGCTTTGTGATGGTGGGCTTGTAATTAGGAAGAACCTGGCTAAGCACACACACCCAAATAGTGGGAAGCCCTGCCTCATCGCTGTCTTGGAAATCTATGTCCACTGCTTCTACACCAACATTATAATTATGGGTCTGTTTCCTTCTTCGAACTTCTGCACATTGCAGGAGCTCATGAACAGCTGCCGGCTGTGTCATAGCTCCCGTGTCTCTGACAGAGAGCCCCACAAGTGAGGCAGTATGGAACTCGAAGATTTGGCCAGACCTTGGATCGGGGGCTTTAGGTTGTAGAGTCTTCGAATTGAAGGAAGATCCCAGCGAAGTCTTGATCCGTCAAGGGCTGACGGGTTCGAAGAGCTCTGGAGCTTTGAAGCTTCAGAGTTGACCATGGGTCGAAGGAGAAAGTGCCTGTTGTAGCCCTCAATCGCAGATCCCTGCTGTTCTGCTGGATGGCTTGAAAGTCCTGGTGGTGTGGGGCATCGGGTCACGCAAGGGTGCAATGACAGTTGTGAGTGGCCGAGGTGGGCATTTGCACGCAACCAATCCTGAACGCAACACCCACACACCCTAAAATTGCTAAGGACTTCCCCCAAACCCTTAAAGCCAAACCCCGAAGCTTTGGATTCAAGATCCAAGCCCGCAAGCTCGAAAACACCTGAGCCCCAACACCCCCGAGCCCCCAACAGCAAAAATCGAAGCCGTAAAACACTCAAACAAAGGCGCCAGCATAGATCTCCAAATCCTGACAAACCATGCACCATGTGTGTATATATATATATATAATTATACATATATATATATATATAATTATACATATATATATATATATAGACCCCGAAGATACGACGACCAAGACAAGCGAGCCGACCAGGACCGCTGGTGGGGTTGGGAGCTCCTCCGAGAAGCCGTGCCTTGGCCCTGCTCAGACTTGTTTTGAAGGCAACCCACCCCCAAAACCAAAAGTCGCTCCAGGCCTTGCCTGCCAAGCTGATTGGAATAGCGATGAATCTAAACCCTAAACCCTAAACCCTAAACCCTAAACAAAATGATCGGACGTTCGTCCCAAGACGTTTACTGCGCAACACCGGCGGCGCATGCCTCGAGCCCACACAGGACGGTGAAACTCTGAACCTAAGAACCTCGCGGTGTCACCACACTGTTGGGGGCAAACGAAGCCCTGGAACCCGAAAGCTTGAAAGCCTGTAGCCCCAAAGCCCCAAAAAAGCCCGCAAGCCGAGCATGTCCTAAAGCATTGAAAAATCCCAGAGCACCAACAAAAATACGAACTCGAGCCCTAGAGGCCCTGGAGCCCATAGAAGCCTTATCAAAGACCCTAAACCCTTAACTCCCAACCATCACCCTGAACCCCTAAACCCCTAAACCCCACAACCCCAAACCCAAAAACCTGAAAAACCCTAAACCCCAAAAACCTGAAAAACCCAAAAACCCTAAAAGCCCCTACTACAAGCATTCCGCCGCCAGGTCGCAGCTCTTGAGCTTTCAACCGCAGCTCCTCGGCCACGGCCTCGGAAAGTGACTCAAAAGAGCGGCGTCCTCCATGGAACCCGACGAACCAAACAACAGAAAGTTGCAAAACATGTCACAGCTTTAAGCTACAAAGACCAAAAGACCAAAAACCATGACAGATTTATGAAATCATGATAGTAGTGATGATATTGGGCGTATGCTCGGGTCCATCAGCTTCTGCTCACAAAATTCTTCTCTAAGGGTGGGAGGATTTCGAACTTAGTTTAGTTAAGTCATCATGGTAAGGGTGTGCAGTACATACGATTTGTTCCTGTCCTTATCATTGTAGCTTAGATCAAGATCCTAGGATTTGAGGGCGTTTTGTTTGCTTTCAGGCTCTTCGACAGAGGGGGCGATGCTTTGCCCTGGCTTCCCGGTAAGACTACCTCACCGAGCATGGTCTCATGATAGCAAGGATCCTGAAATTTGAGGATCATGTAGAATCCCAAAATGACCGACCAGTCGACACCACGTGAAGAGAAACGCCCCAAGTTTGTCGAGCTTCCTCAGGGCACAGCTCGGGCCTAATGCGTCCAAACCCGGATTGATGCAGGACTGGGTTCCGGACACTAATGAACTCAACAAACTCCATCCAGGAAGTCTCGCCGGATTCGTCCACGTCCATCCCTGCAACCAGAAGCCATGCACGAGCTTTTCTAATCCTGACATCCGAACCCCAAAACCCTGAGACCGACAAACCTCTGAGCCCTCGGCGCTACGTCAAACAACCCAAAAATGGCCAAGTCTTAAGAAATCCGCACATGAGCAAACACCCAGCGGAGCGACGGGTGCAGTCTTTTTTTCGCAAGGGTTGCTCGAATAGCGGTGCTGTGCGACACAGATCACTGGGTAAAAACATCTTGGAATCCAGTCCTAAGCCCGAAACCCAAATGCTCCAGCCCTCGTTCAGGTCTAGATCGCGCGTGCACAAATGAACCGTGGATCGATACCTCTCTCCATCCCTCCTCCGCATTCGACCCACCGGCCTTCGAAGAGCTTCAGAACCGAGAGGTGCACCGCCTGAGCTGCAACAGTAACCAAGTAGCTAAGCAGCTAGCGAGCCAGCTAGCTAGCTAAGTTTCCGACTGACTGACTGCCCGACCGACTGAACTGACTGACCTGACTGACGAACCAACCAAGCAACCAAATAACCAACCCAACAGTATAAGTGACTAGCCCAAATAAGCTGACCAACCCTCTCTAATTCCGTCCACGTATACATATACACACATCCATCCATCCATCCATCCATCCATCCATACATACATACATACATACATACATACATAAGCAAGACAAGCAAATCAAACAAACAAACAAACAAACATACATACATACATACATACATACATACATACATACATACAGACATACAGACATACAGACATACAGACATACACACATCCATGCATGCATGCATGCATGCATGCATGCATGCATACATACATACATACAAACATACACACATCTATGCATGCATGCATGCATGCATACATACACACATGCATGCATGCAGATGCTCCATGCCCAACAAAGGAGCCCGGGTCCGGCACGAGCTTTCGCTCCTCGTACTTGGGGAAGGCAGCCGAATCCAAGCGCGGGCACACCTGGCACAGCGCTTCGGAGCATCATTTAGGTTTTGATTCGATAGGGCATGGAAGTGCAGAGCACAAAGCAAACAAAACAAAACTCTGTCGGCGGTGCTCTGGAGAAAATCCGCAGGAATTCGCCCGAGTTCAGCTTCTCGCCATGGTCTTCAAACCTGGGCGCTGCCACTTTCTTCTATGTGAGACCTCAACGGAGACAGTCCTGTTGAGTTCGCACGCCCAGGCTAAAAACACTTCACCTGATATCAGCAACCATCGGGATCGATCGCTGTCTGGAAGCTGTCCAAGAAACTGAGCAGTGCTTACCTGGAGTTCCGGAAACTGCCTAGTTTCGACGAGCTCATCAGATGACACGATCCCTCCTGCGAAGCGAAGGATCAGTGTCTAGGCCGCTTTGCCAGACGAGTCTAGAAGCCAGCGCAAACAAACATGTGCCCATTGCGGCTCGACAACACACATCCGGGAAGAACAGTTACGTAGATCAGTTGTAGCAGACACAGCCAAAACAGTAGCAGTCGCAAAGCATTGAACCTCATATAGGGATCCGGTGGCAAGATGTTAACCAACGGCTTCCACGAACAGGGGCTAGAAAAGTTGATGACGAACAGGAACACTTCGATGCAGTACAGCAGCCACTGGGTTCTCTCTAGATTGTGACCTTCCCCAACCCGCTGACTACTGGCGCATATACCACAACTGTCTGGTGCTTAGTAGGGAATGGGCGAATGGGTTATAGGGACTACTATAAGGGACCTTAAGGGACTATCATAGGGATCCATTCCGCCATTCCCTACTAAGCACCAGACAGACAAAGAACACCCCGACTGCCCCGCGCATGTGCTCACCCAGCTGCTGCTGCTCCAGCCATCGCAACGACCTCGGACGTTTACGATTTACGGGTTCACAAGGGATTTGCTGTTTCGTGGTTCACGCAGCGTCTGGGGTGTTTAGTGAAGAATGTAAACCTCGGGCTACGCCTCTTGCCGCCCTACCATGTCGACAAGTACAGGCAGATCTCGCATACTCAGGGTCAGGTCTCCGGACATGACAGGATAACTTGAGATCCCGAAGACCCCATAATATGTAGTAGTGTACATATGGCAATGCAAAGATCTCATGTGTGTCTTCACATATGTATTTGTTTACATGGTCTATCTAACAACTACATATTATTGTGCATTTCCGTACCTGAGATGTCTTTGCATACATGCCCCTATATACAAACGAAGAGACACATGACACACTTACTGTGTGTGGGTGTATATAAACATACGTATGTGTATGCATGTATTTATGTTAATAACTATGTATGCACACATGCTGTTCATATATACACGTACACGTTAAAGACATAGAGCCAACTTGATCCAGTGGCTGCGAGTTCAAACTCCTGAGGAAGCTCTCGAAGGTCTCGCGTACCAGCTGCCTGAATCCATGCCGGAGCGGATTCGTCTTGAAAGGGTTGGGGCTTAGGATGTAGGCCGCAGGGTCTTGGTTTAGTCTTCAGAAAGTTTAATGCATCGTGGGTTTGGCTCTCGGCTTCAAAGTTTAGGGCTGCAGGGCTTAAGCGCTAGGGCATAGGCTGCCACTAGTACGGGATCAGTACAGCTGGACGCTTCAAGGCTGTAGCGTTTCGGGCTTTATGGTGAGAGGTGCCGATCAACATACCGTAGGCATGTGCGTGTGCCTGAGTGTGTGCGTGTGCGTGTGTGTGTGTGTGTGCAATAATATATATATATATATATATATATATATATGTATATGTATATGTATGTGTATATATATATATATGTATATATATATATATACGAACAGGAACGCTGCATCTGTGGGTTGAACTGTCTATCTTCTATTCGGCTCGACTTGATTATACTGTGTGTACTACTTATGTATTGTGCACTCATAACTCCCGCTTTTCTCAAGACGTATCCAGTGTACATACATCTATGTGTATCTAAATAAATAAATAAATATGTATATATACACACACATAGATGTAGAATGATGCACATAAGTACTAATAGCGGCCTGAGCTTGATGTACTTCACGCGAGCTTCTTCCGCATCGTCGGGCAGATCGACCCCTCTCGGCCAAAGATTTGGAGCTCAAGGGATTATGGATTTAGGGCTGAATCACTGTAGAGCTCAATTCTGCGGTTGTAGTAGGATTTAGGATGTGAGGAAGGAAAGGCATATGGCATGTAGGCCGGGCCATCGTTGGAACATCACATTCAACCAGATAGGTAGTCGCACTGTCGAACTATCGAACCTGTCCATCCACCAAGAATACCACAATGTCATCCTGTGAAGTGTATGGCCGTTCCTCGAAAATCCGCACCATGCAGGTAATGCTCAAGAGTGGGGTTTGCAGATGATTGCAGAATCCCAGGAGGCCACTGATCATTATTCGGATGTATATGGGGAACCCTACCCCTAAACCTTAAACCCTAAACCCTAAACCCCTACGATAAGCGTCCTAGAACAAACATGCCAGGGTGGCCCCTTCCAACCCAAGCTCCTCAGTCCTGCACGCCCTGGCAAGGGCCTAGCCAAACTTTAACCGCTACAAGTCCCTGAAACCTACACTTCCTTAGACCTGCCCATAGGCCCCATAGTAGTTCCTTTTTTGGGGTTACCTTTTTGGATTTTATATATGAACCCCAAAAAGGAACTACTTTAGGGCCTATGGGTGTTCGCCAAGAATACAGCAGTCACGCACCCGCAGAGTTCCGCACGCCTTTGACGCCTAAGCCCTAAACCCTAAACCCTAAACCCTAAACCCCTCTCGGGTGCGCACGCGCTTCGACGCCTGGCCGGCTCGACATGGCCCCAGCCTCACAGAGAGTCTTCGGGCCCCCTTTTCGCCCTCCCAAATTTTGGCTAGAAACCTGAAACTCTGCTAGGCTCTATATATATATATATATATTTTTTTTTATTTATTATTATTCTTATTTTCATGTCTGTTATTGTTGTTATTATTGTGTATGTATATATATATATAGGAAACCAACCCCAAACACTCACAAGGGTTCAGAAAACCCGAGACCCCGTTTGATTGGGGTTCAGTCAACCCTAAACCTAAATCAGCCCTTCACTCCATGAAATTGGGGTTTAGTAAACCTAAGCACCCCAACTGAACTCCTTAGGCTTTGGATTTAGATGGAACTGGGATGCACTTAGGGAGGAGCGCAGAGCATCGAGCCTCCACTTCCCTCAGCTGGGGCGTAGAGCCATCCAAGAGCTCAGACGCATCTTCATACGGACAACATGTTCTGTCTGCTTAGGAGTTCTGGGCTTGGGGCTCAAGAGCTGTAGGGCTTTGGGATCATAATAGGGCTTGATTGGGGTTTGAATCTCATCCACATTTTTGGGGTGAGGTTTGATGGTCCTTCCTGGCGACGGCTTGCCCGAGTACGCGTAGGCCGACTGGCATAGCTAAGAATAAGAACCAAGAAGCAACAGAAAAGCAATCATTACAGCAGCACTCCGAATGGCGTGGAGAGGACGTTAACATCCTGCAAGCCCTCTGTGCGTTTCCTCTGTGAGCCAGTAAGCATCACAAAGTTTCGCTCCGCAGCTCAAGCCGAGCTTGGCTGCAATCCAAACCACAAAAAGGACGACCAAGGTGCAGAGATCAGACTGAGTAATCGAGCAAGGCGTAACTGCACAAGACTTCGACTGTCTACGAGTGCGGCAACAAAACACAAGCCAGTGGCAGCCAGCTGTCCTCGAGCAACGCACGAGCCTCCAAGTCTTGAGCATTCTCATGGAACCTATTTTCAAATACCAATCTCTTGCGACAGTGTTGCATCGAGCACGAAACGAAACGCAGCTGAATCGAAGAAAAACCTGGCCGGCCTCCTCCTGCATTCCGCCCTTCAAGCATGCACTCATCGCGGTGTTATAAGTCACCGCATTCGGCCTCGCCTGCGCAGCCGAGAGCTGACTTGAGGGCATTTCCCGTGAGCTATCAGACTCACGCGGGGCCTCATGGTCATGCATGTCATCCAACAGCCTGGGGCAGAGGCGATACCAGGATGTACCAGCAGCAGGATGATGATGGCAATGGGAATGGAAATGGCGATGGAGATGGAGAAGAAGAAGAAGAAAATGATGATGATGATGGTGATGATGGTGATGATGATGACAATGACAATGACAATGACGAGGATGACGGCGATGGCGGCCATCAATAAGAGCGATCAGAAAAAGACACAGTACTGTAGCATGGCTATTGAGACGAAGACGATGTCGACTGCGACGAATACTGCTACTCTACGGCTTCCTCTGTCACTATTGATGCTGCTGCTGAAGCTGTCTGCTGAGGCTCCTTTTGCAGATTTAGAAATCACCTATGCAGCTACTTCCGCAACTCACTGCATTGTACCTAGGAACCCCGGTTCCGATGGACCAAAACTTGACACATCAAATGGCCAAGCGAAGCTTCAAGAGCTTGCAAACTTGGATTAACTTCCCGAGTGCATGCGAGCATCAGCAGGGTCTCGTAGCCACGGAAAGCTTTGTCGCACCTCATCATGCGCGAGTGTGAGAGCTCTGTTCCAAACAGCGCACGCTGATTTTTCCAGCAAGCCAATAGTTGTGAGTTGTCGCGATGCCGCGATGCACTAGCTGTCGAAAGATGAAGGGAGAGCAGCGAGTTCCAGCAACCATCTTGCGAAAACACCGAAGCAAGCTAGTGTTGAGACTTCCCCGAAGATAACCCCCTATGCCCTCAACGTCCCTAAGCCCAAGAGCCCTAAAATCGAAGAACCTCACGTAGGCCCGGCACGCATTGATGGCTGAGTTGTAGGTTCTTGTCTGTGGAGTCAAGCCCTGCTCCTTCGAGGTCCGTCAATCCTTCAACAACCCCGAAACCCACAAACTTAAACTCAAAATCTCAGGGTTTAGGGTTTAGAGTTTAGGGTTTTTTTGATCACCTCCTTTCCTTCGCCTGAGGGGTCCGGAATACCATGTTGGTGGAGGAGTTTAGGGTTTAGGGTTCAGAGTTTAGGGTTTATATAGGGTTTAGGGTTTCTTCAAGCCTAAAGCCCAGCAAGGGCTTAAGGTCTCTATGCGGGGCACGTACAGCCTTAACTCCTTCACTCTAAACCCCAAGCCCTCAAGCCCTACAACCCACCATGCCAAAGCCCCAATCCCTAAACTCCTACAGCCCCAATCCCTAAACTCCTAAAGCCAAGCCCCAAACCCTTCAAGTCCTTCATCTTCGTCAGAGACTGCAGGGCATCCTCCCAGGCTCCTCCTCGCGCACAAGCCTCCAGTCAGGCTTTCAGCACCGGAGTGCGAAAGCAGATGATGAGAGTCTATGTTTTTTTTTTTTGAAGGCCCTTTTCCCTCAAGCAATCCAAACAGAGTCTATGGTTTGGGGTTGAGGGTTCACAGAGCTTGCGCATATGCACGTGTACATTTATTGTATGTGGATATGTAGTGCGAACGAGATGAGGGTTAGGGTACTGGCTTTAGAGTTCTAAGTTCAAGGCCTTCTGTCTAGAGTTTAGGCTGTATGCAGGGGTTTCTTGGACAGGATTGTTAACCAGAAACAGGAATCACACTTCTCAAGACGTTCCAAGAAACATTGATGAGGGCATTGTACGTAATTGTATCCGGCACCAATGCCCTCTCGGGCATGCCCTGAAAGAGCAGCAGTGCTCGCACGGCCTCGCCGGCCTGTGCGCAAGCATTGATGGCTGCATTGAAGATCCGGACATCGGCCTGGACAAAGCTAATCAAGAAAGAAACTGCTGCTACTGCTACGGCTCCTGCTCCTGCTACTGGTGCTGCTAGAACTACCACCGCGCTTAGCGAGAGTGCGGGGCTAACCTTTTTCGTGTCTAGGGTGCCAGGACTGTCGCATTCGCTCTGGTTCCTACAAGCGCCTTCACCCGCCTGCTGTCTCTTACGACCTACCAGTTTGTCATACCTGCACCTACACACGTACACGTGTGAATGCATACACACATACACACATGCATACATGCATAAACACGTACATACATACCTACATAACTACAGGTTTACCTACATACCGATGCACAAATGATTTGTTGAGACTGTGGGCCTTGATCCCAGCGCGCTCCATCTCGGCCAGGAGCTGCAAAGCCTCTTTCCAGTGCCCGCTGTCAGCGCAAGCAGAGATGGCCGTTGTGTAGGATATCACATCCTGGGGCTCGGTCGGAGCCCCTGCGAAAACGCAACTTCTATTGTCGTTAATACAGCTTGCGTGTATGTATAGATATATAGATATAGATATACTATGTACATGCAAACATACATATATGCACATACACTATATAGACTATACACATATGCTATGTACTCAGCTCTGTATATATATACATATATATATATATAGATATATGCATGCGGATACTGAACATCAAGGCCCAGCATCGGGTGACAGCCCTGATTCCCAGATCTCCCCAATCAGCTGAATCGCCTCCTGCCATCGGCGGTTGCGCGCCAGGGACTTTAGAACTGCGTTGTAGGTGATCACGTTGGGCGTAAGCCCGTTCCTTTGCATGTCCACCAGCAGCCCCAAGCACTCACGCCAAAGACCCAACTTGCCAAGTACATTGATCGCTGTCGTGTACTCCCGGGCCTCTGTCAGTAGACGACGCTGCTGCAAAGCAGCGATCGTCGCAGCAAGATCTCTCGGCTTGCTGTTGGGATCGCGGAGCTTCGCAAGGAGGCTGCGCTTGTCCTCCTGTCCGTCCTTCATCCGCCAAGTGGATTTGGTTTGAAGAGTTCGGACGTCTTGACCCCTTCCTCGTTGCTGTCTCACTGCGAAGCTGGAGGTAGCACCTAGCAGACCCAGCAGTATCACGGCAGCGGCGAGACTCTGGCAAATTCGGCGCGACATGTTCGCGTTCTTTGGCATTGCCCGTAGCTGAGAGCAATGCTGCGAACAAGCACATGAAGGTGGGAGATATGCCCTGTCGAATATGGGTCAGGGTCAGAGCGACACTGCTTTATTCTGGAGGCATGGTTAGAAGCAGCTGCAGAAACAAGCTTCTTGTGACATTGTGTGACAGTGAGGATTCTTCTGGAGTATGGTCTCTCGGTCTTTCTAGGATCCTGGATATGGTAAGGTGTGGCTTGGATACGTCACCTGAAGGGCGCGGTTTTTGGGAACGACGGGGAGGTATCCCTCCAACACTCCGCGAAGTCTTGAGTTTTAAGAACTGTGAAGGAATAACCCGCAAGCGTGACGAAGGGCTCCTAATATCGTAGAGGCCCACGTAGCTTCCTTTCAACAAAGCGGCTGCGGCAATCAAGAGCTATCCGAAGTGGTGGGCAAGAAATTCGCACGGGCACATGGCAGCCAGCATCATGATTGTTGTCAGTGTGGCGATTTACTCCCCACCTGATGTTATACGAAAATCAAAGCGAATTTCTAATGAAGAGTGCCGAAGCCATCATCATCCCCGTTACCCAGCAACTGCGACCAGGATCGTCGCTTGCACCAACATCATCACCATCATCATCATCATCATCATCATCATCATCAGTACTACTGCCTTCGTTCATCCAGTACAAATGCCATGGTTCATGGCGTGCATTTTTGTTCCAGCATCATCTCAAGGAACCAGCTTCGTCCAAACACTTCCGGGTTTTGTTCTTAACTCAGGGCCCCTTTGGAATATGGCTGCTGTTCTCAAATGAAGGGTCGCGTTTGGGATCCCTCTAGTGACTCTAGTGTCCACATCGTACAGGGCGTGTCTTATTATCGAAGCTCACATTCCTTTACCATCTCGCTGTTGAGTACCAACTGTGTTGCACAAACCCATACCCTCAACCCAGAAACCCTGAACCCTCTTCAACCCCAAACCCTGAACCCCACACGCCATGCCCTCAAGAACCCCCTAAACCCTAAACTTTCTAAACCCTAAACCCTGCAAACCCTACACACCCCCCCCCCCCCCCCCTGCTCCGCTCCGTTTTTCGAGCCGAAAGCTGCTTCGGCCAACTTCTCGAAGCCGAGGGATCGGAGCTTCCGCTGTGCCATCTGTCCCACTGCTTCCTTGCGCGGGGCTTACGCAGGGGTTAGGCTTTCGGGGTTAGGGTGTTATGGTTCAGGGTGTGTAGGGAAGTTTGGGGTATAAGGGCGGCTGGGCTGTACCTGTGTCATATGCAAGTTTCCGGAACACATAGTGGGTTCCGGGATGAGGTTGCAACATCCTGGCAGCTAGACAGAAAGGGCAGGCAAGCGAAAAGTCTGAGCAACTGAGCAAGGACTGAGTAAGGTACCTCTACCCTTTCAAGAACCTACAGTATGAAACGCAAAACAAACCCGAAATACTGGTATTATTCCTATAAAGGGCTCCTAAACACGATACTCCTAAGCTGAAGAAGCCACCCTTTATGGGAGGCATCTTACCTACTATAGTAAGCAGTCGTGATCAGAATCCGGATCCGGGTGTTTTAACCCATTGTTGGTGGTTCGTTATACTTACACATCCTAGGAGAGCTGGGTCGCTCTTGATCCTCTCATTCAATCGGCAAGAGCAACATCTCCATGATTCTTTCAGTCTTCGGCTTGCTAAACGCACAAACACAGATATATATATATATA